TTCTTAGCTCTGACTCCATTTTTCTGTTTGTTTTTGGTGCGGGGGCCTGATTCTACTTTTTGATGTTTTAACCGTTGATAGCTGTTTTAACCTTTGATAGCTTTTAAGCCTCACCCCTTCTGTTCCACATCTGGGCATACTGATAAGAGAGCCCAGATGCTTTTTCCTTTGTCTCTGCAGAAGATTCAAACAAGTAGATTCTTCAGCTTGCATATGGGAACTCTCATTCTGGCTACACCCTCTAATCACAATTAAAAACTCCAAGCCAGATTTCTTTCTTTGATCTCCTAAGCCATTTCAGAGCTGCTTGGGAAGCCTGATCTGCTGCCCTAGAGATTTGAATTATGTATGTAAATAACATTTTTCATATGTTAACATTTTTTTATGTGTGTGTATGTGATATCAACAGCCTCCACATCTGAACTAATTTTGGGTGGGAGTTCATCTATTGCTAAAGAATGGTTACAACATTATAATATCTCCCACTTTATTTTTCCCCACAGGATTTTTATTTTTATGTTAAATGATTGAAATAAAAAACTATAAAAAGAACCACTTGTTCTTGCCTATCTTGTCCCTCTCCTTAGGCTTGAACTTAGCCTCCAGTTGCTCTTACATTAAGAGCAGGGTTGCTGGGCTGGGGTTGTGGCTCAGTGGTAGAGAGTTGGCCTAGTATGTGTGAGGCCCTGCGTTTGATTCTCAGCACTGCATATAAATAAATAAAATAAAGGTTCATTGACAACTAAAAAATATTAAAATTAAAAAAGTGCAAAGTTTCTGAAGACATCTGTTGATCACAGTATTATTTAAGAGGGCATGACATATTATTACAAAAGACATTTGACCTTTGACCTGTTGGTAATGTTCTTCTTGTATGGCAGCCAGCACTTTGCAGGGATAGTGGTCAATTCCAGCTACCAGAGAATGACTTTTGAGGTGGCATGAAGTGAAATCATCAATGTCAGAATAGCATCTGTTCAAGACTAGTTCTGCTTTTCCTGGGTTTCATGAACTTTCCCATTTCAAAAGCAAACACCTAGACCTAAAGCAGAAGGAAAGCATACTAATCAGAGTTATTTAGAACAACACAATCAGTAGATTGTGTGTGTGTGTGTGTGTGTGTGTGTGTGTGTATGTATAGTGTGTGTGTATGTATGTATATGTATATATGTATATGTATATATATATATAAATTTTTTTAACAATATTCTTTTAAAATTTTTTTTGTAGTTGTAGATGGACAGAATGCCTTTATTTTAATTGTTTACTTATTTATTTATGTGGTGCTGAGAATAGAACCCACTGCCTCATGCATGCTAGGGAAGCACTCTACCACTGAACTATAGCCTCAGCCCCTAGATTCTCTCTCTCTCTCTAATAGAGAGAGAGAGAGAAACTTTTTTAACATTTATTTTTCAGTTTTCGGTGGACACAACATCTCTATTTTATTTTTATGTGGTACTGAGGATCGAATCCAGCGTCCTGTGCATGCCAGGCGAGCGCATTACTGCTTGAGCCACATCCCCAGCCCCTGTATATTTTTAAGAGGGAATTTATTAGACAGGTTTACATGATCAGAGGATCAATAGTTCACAATGGCCATCTGCAGGCTGGAGAGCCAGGGAAATCAATAGCTGTTCAGTTGAAGAATCTGGAGCATCAGCACAAGGACAAGGAATGATGCAGCCCCAGTCCAAGGCTGAAGGCCTAGAAGCCAACTGGAGGATTGCTGATGTAGTTCCACATTTAAAAGTTGAATAATCTGGAGTCTAATGTTCATGGGGGATGGTGTCAGCAGCAAAAACGCATCTGCTTAAGAAGAATTGAGCATGTGTGGAGCTTCCCCTTTCTTCTGCCTTTGGTTTCATCCAGGCCCCATGCCTATGCAATGGCACCACTCCTGTTCAGGTGAGTCTTTGCTCAGTTCACTGACCCACATGCCTGTTATCTCTGGAAACATCTTCATAGACATACCCAGAACTGTGATTTGCTAATTTTTTAGGTGTTCCTCAATCTAGTCAGGTTGATGACTAAGAATAACATCACAGGAAGGAAGGGCCTATCTCCCACTTTTAAAAAGTATGTTAACTAGGATTTAAGTTAGGCTTTTTCAACAGGATTCAAAATAACAGTAGCTAAATAAATTAGAAATTTATGCTTTGTTCACATAAAAGTTGACTGTTATGTAATGCTGTCATGGGCCCAGGTTTCTCTCAGTTTGCTTTCCATGTCAGACTTCTAACCTTCAGAATTATAATATATTTGTATGTGTGTTATTTATTTTTTACTTTTAACAATGAGCTGTGTCTGCATGCTACAGTGATGATACACATTGAAGTCTGCATTCCAGCTAGCATAGAGAAGGAAGAGATAAAAAGAGGAAAAGGAGTGTTTATCTCTTCTCTTTAGAGGCACAGTTTCAAACTTAGTCATATAGCCATCATTAGTCGTAAGAGAGCTGGGTAACACTGTTTTTATCCTGGTGGCCACATATCTGTAAAACAGATTTTATTACTAAGGAAAAAAGGGGAAACCGAAAAAAATGGGGCCAGCAAGTTAGCAATCTCTGTCCCTCAATATCCCTTTGATTTTATATCCCTGTGGTAGGTAGAATAATGACCCCCTCACCCCTATAACCTGTGAATATGTTAGGTTACTTGGCAAAAGGGAATATAGGTTGCCGATGAAATTAAGTTTGCTAATCAGTTGATACTAAGACAGATACCGAGATATCCAGAGGGGCCCAATGTAATTAGAAAAGGGGGACAGGAATGTAGCTCAGTATAACCATCACTAAACACATACACACACCCAGGAGGAGGAAGCAGGGAGGTCAAGAGATGTGATATGTGGTTTTCATCTTAGATTTGAAGATAGAGGAAGAGAGTCATAAATCAAAAGAATGTGGGTGACCTCTAATAAAAGTTAGAAAAGACAAGGAAGTGGATTCTCCCCCTAGAGCTTCCAGAAAGTAGCATATCGCTATATACACTTTGATTTTAGTACAGGGAAACCAGTGTCAGACTTCTAACCTTCAGAATTATAATATATTTGTATGTGTGTTATTTATTTTTTACTTTTGTTTGTTTTTGTAGTGCTGGGGATAGAACCCAGGGCCTTGTGCATGATAGGCAAGTGATGTAACTTTGAGCTATATCCTAGTCCTCATGTATGTTTTAAAAGCAAATAAATTTGTGGCCATAAGACACTAACAACAGAATTTTTACTGGAAATGGAGTGCTGCTGTAAATCAATACCTAAGAATGAGAAAGTGACTTTGGAATTGGGCTGTGGGCAGAAGCTGGAAGAATTTTAAGTAGCATGGTGCCAAAAACCTGGGTTGATTTGAATAGACTATTAGTAGAAATATGAATGTTAAGGATGCTGCTGGCAAAGCTCAAGAGGAAAGGAGAAACATGTTATTGGAAACTAGAGAAAAAGGGATATTTGTTATAAAGTGGCAGGAAAATGTAGGGGAATTGTGTTTTGCAATTATGTGGAAAGCAAAACTAAGAACAATGAAACTGGACATTAACTGTGGGTATTTGTGGATATTTCCAAACAAAGTGTTTCTTATAATAAAATGCCATAGGAAAGAGCTAGATTGAGAGAAAAAAGATAAATAAAAGGGAAGTATGACTTGATGATTGCAGGATTGCAAATGATGCTAAAATTGAGATTCACTATCATGATAGAAAAAACTATGGATGAGGTTGTAAAACATTTTATTAATACCACAGAAAGAACAAAAGGTCAGAATATTTAGTCACAAAAAGGCTATAAAGAGATTAAGTATATGACTCAGATGTCCTCAATTATCTCTTCAGAAGCTGAAAACAGGGGAGTGACTATCTAAGAGAAACCTCTTGTCTAAGAGCAAATTCTCTGACAACCAGGGAAGACCCCATAAGGTTCATGAGAATTTTATATAAGCAGAAACTTTCAGCCTGGAATGAAAAGGAAAATATGAAATGAAATGAAAAAGAGAATATGAAATAAAAAATGCTGTGCAAATGCAAAATTCTACAGGCAAGTAACAGGCTGATAAAACTACTCCTTTACAAACATGTGTTACCTTTTATGAAAAAGAAGGGAGAGATCCAGAGGGGAGAGTCTTGAAAGGGAGGATTATTTCTGGACTTTGAAACTTAATGGATTTGTGTGGGTGTATTTTGAATTTTGAGGGGGAAGAGTGATTCCTTTTTTTTCCCCATCCATTATACCTCTTTTTGAGAGGTAGAAAGTGGAATTTTGAATGACTGAATATTTTCTCCTTTATTCGTTATTTTGACCTGCCATTATGTTCCCTATTTTAATTCCTAAGAACATACAAGTGAATGACAGTGTCTGTGTTCCAGGAGCTCTTGTGTTAGGAGAACAGGTGACATGTGTGCAAATAAGGTCAGTTCAGGGTATAAGAATAAAATTTGTATAGAAGAGGTGGTAGATAGGATTATTAGGGCAAAATGGAGAAAGTTCAACCTGAACAGTATGAATAAAAATTTACTGGGTAGATTAAGTAGGGCACAAGGGGAAGTCAGTTCAAGCTGAGAGTATAGCATATGTGTAGGCAGAGACGTATGAAATAGTAGTTTTATTTGGAGACCTATAGGTGGTTTGGTAAAACTGGTATGGTGGGAAAGATGTTACAAAAATATGGAAAACTTGGAATGTAAAGAGTCTTAGATATCATGCTAAGGAATGAAAATTCTTCCATTAGTGGGAGGGGAGACTTTTAAGATGAAATTGATATGGTTAATTCTCACTCTGGACATTTCATTATCACTTTAGATATGTTATCAGAAAAGTAAAAAAATTAGTTTGATATAATTCAGATGAGAACCTGAAGTAAAAATAGTTGAGGGAAAATAAAACGATGGAGGGATTATTATATCATACAAATTTTGGCTGTTTCATATTTAAAAAGAGCAAACTTCTAATATAAATTGTGTTTCCTAAGTAGAAATTCTGTATTTGGAAAAAATATACTGACTAGGAAATTCAAGTTAGTTGGTTGGAATTGCAATTTATTTTTCATGTTTACCATTTGATCCCTTCTGAGATTTTAAAAGTATGGTCAAATTTTAAAGACTAATTACCCCTAGAAAAGATGATAATATCAATTGCTGAACATGCAGAGTTGATAAAACACCTATTTGTAACATCTTCAAAGTATAGAGATCCTGTAATGTCTTAAACAAATAGCTGTATTATTTATGTAAGATGTTATCAATTGTAGACTTTTTATACCACCGTACAAATTTAATAGAATTTATTAGGAATTTCAGAAAACAAAGCTTCATAACTACAACTAATGCATAAATGGAATAACAAAATACCCTCTTTTTTATTTTTAAATAGAATTAATTTATATCCAGTAGCATGCTTGTTGAAAACAATGAAATATTTCCATTCATTAAAAATGTATTCATCAATAAAATACATAATAAAGTATAATTTATAGCATAAACATAAACTGATCAATTTATCTCCATTACCTATATTATACTTCATTTTTATGATTATAGTATTTTGAATCATTAATAAATGCAGAAATATATATTTACAGGAGATTCTCAAAAATAATGATTTCATTAAATAGTTACTGTCACACTTCATCAATATTTTCTTTGCAATCTGGATCCAACATCAGGAGATGGTCGAGGTCTTGGCAGGCTGTTCTGTAACAAAGTTTCAGAATATTCCTTTACTAAAGTATTCACCTTTGACAAGTAAATCTCTTTATAGATTACAGATTTTAATAAGACTATGCTCATAATTCAAATTCTAAATGCCATTTACACATCATTCGCAACAAAACAGAGTAATTACATAAGGCATCATATTAATTATAATAATCCATGATCTTCATACTTTGCTACTGGTAACATTTATTTAAGAAGTGCTTAATATAATCTGCTGTGAAAATGGTTAAAATTTGGGGCTGGGGATTTGGCTCAAGCGATAGCGCGCTTGCCTGGCATGCGTGGGGCGCTGGATTGGATCCTCAGCACCACATAAAAATAAAATAAAGATATTATGTCCACTGAAAACTAAAAAATAAATATTAAAAAATTTTCTCTCTCTCTTTAAAAAAAAGAAAGAAAATGGTCAAAGTTTAACAATTTTATTTTCTACAGGAAGCACTTGGAACCCACATAAGATCCTAAGAGTGTTTAATAATATACTTTGGGCTAAAGAAGTACGTTGCTTGAGAGGGTAATTGCTAAAAAATTATTACATTTATTTATTAAAAAAGTAAATAAAATGCTTTAAAATGAAAATTCTTCTTCTAAGAATTTTATACTTTGAAATTTATAATGGCAGTGGCAGGAGTTTTGAGGTTGCCCTTGCAACAACCCTATTACACTGTAATGTTTTCATGTTGCCCCTATTAGAATGCAGGTTACTCTTCCTCTTTATTTGCAGTCCTAGCAGAATGCCCAATACATGGAAAGTACTCAGACAGTTTATGTTCAATGAATAAAATGAACTAATATGGTAGCTTCTACAAAAAGAAAAGGTCAGGCTGAATGGCTGCCAACAGGAGGAAATTCTAAATTTTTGGGCAGGACGAAGGTTGGACTGAAAAAGCCTTCCCAGATGGATGACAATGGGGCCAAGTCCTGAAGAGTAGGTAGTAGAAAAGCAGATGAGAACAAGGTCTGTGAGGCAGTGGGAACAGCGTGGGTCCTGAAAGCGTGCAAGGAGTTATGGGGAGACTTGCCAACTACTCAACAGAAGGTAAGTCATAAGATGGGGAGCAACCAGAGGTGAGGCTGGATGGGTGTTGAATACCTTTCTCTGGAGTTTTAATTCTATCTTTTAGGTAACAGGTAACAACTGAAGTTAAATTTTAAGCTGGAGAGATTATTCTGGTGATGGTGGTATGAAAGATGCACTTAAGAGAGCAAACCTGATGGCAGTTGAAATGGTTCAGATTAAACATGATAAATTCTTTTAAAAAATTGATTATCTAAATAGTACATATTTATGAGGAACAGTGTGATACTTTGATACATGTATGCAATATGTATACATTGTGCATGCTAGGCAAGTGCTATACCACTGAGTATACTTGCAGCCTTCCTTAAACTTAGAAGATTTTCATTAACACATAACATTTATACATATTTAAGAGACATTGTGTGTTATTTCAATATATGTTGCAATGTAATGATCAATACAAGGTGATATTTCCATCTTCTTATTATTACTTTGTTTTTGGAACCTTCCAGTTCTTCTATTGTTCATAAAGTATATGTTAATGTAAACATGATAAATTCTTAAACCAGTACACCGTCACATTTGGAAAGAACTGAATATATTTGAGGTATATTTAGTGAATATGATTAGAAATACTTTGGGTAATGGAGAATGAGAAACCTGGTTAGACAAATATTTCTGTCTGGGAAATTTGATGGAAGATGATATCATTAATTGAAATAAGGATTATAAAAAAAAAACTAGAACAGATTTTGTGGGAAAGAGAGACAAGTTTAATTCCTGGCTCTGTCACTGAACATCTCTGGGACCTTGGGAAACCTACCTGATGTCTGTAGCTCATTTGATTCAGAATAAGGGGGAAACCATGTAGCATAGCACTTTTCAATGATAGAAACCCAGTAAGTTAAGTTTCCTTTACTCTAATTATATCTCAACAATATCTACTTTCCACTAAATAGTATTAATTTATTAAACACTAGCACTCATTAAAGAATTTCGGAGTTGCGTGCAGTGGCTCATACTTTTAATCCCAGCAACCCAGGAGGCTGAGGAAAGAGGACTGAAAATTTGAGGCCAGAGTCAGCAATTTAATGAAGCCCTGCCTCAGAATAAAAAATAAAAAATACTGGGAGAGCACTCCTGGATTCAATCCCTAGTACTTGAAAAAAATTGATATTTTATATGGAGTATAAACTCTGCTTCAGACTATTAGAAAAAAAAATATTTCAACTTCAAGTAAATCACTGCATTTTACTGAAATCTAAAGAAAGGAGATAATTTATCTATTCATAAAAATCATAAAAAGTCAACCAATATTTTCTAAATATTTCGTATATGCTTGTTTCTATAAAGCATTTAGGGAAGTGGAAAACAATTTAGGCCTCAAGAACACAGTTCCAAAAAAGATTATTCACTTAGAAAAGCAACTAATAAAAATGCCTGTGTAGTTTAAATACAAGATTTGAGGTGCTATATTGATAAGTTCAGAGGAGTGAGAGAGGATCATAAACTAAAATGATTATGGAAGGTCTCATGAGGGAAGTGATATATGTTTGTTCTTAGATAAGTTGAATTTGCAAAGGTGAGAAAACAAATCTAAAATACTAAAGTGCAGTTAGAAATTGGGCATAAACATATGTAAATCATGAGAAAAACATAGAGACACAACAGGATATTGCAAACGTGATGGACAAAATATTAAATGTGCCTGGCTGTAATGGAAGATTCGTAGTGTAGTGAGAAGGACAAGGAAAAGAAGGGGGAACTACAAATGTTGTTAGAATTATTCAGATTTTTACAAGAAAAAGTTATGCTTTCACTTTAATACTTTCACTAAAATACTCAAATATAAATCTCACTTATATATGTAACTACTTAAATTTCACTCAAGTGCTATCAGGAATTTTACTTTTTTGGGGGGTGATTTAAACAAGTAAAGTGATCAGAATAATGTCAATAATACTACCAAACACCTATTTAGCATGTTCTATGTTACCGGCACTGTTTTCTCTGTAGGGTGGCTGCTATTACTATTAGAATGATTATGAGTATCATTGAACGAGAGAAGGTGGGTTGCAATTATTATTATTCCAATATCTCAGACTTGCATTTGCTCTAAGCAATGGTAGGGTATGCTACAAGAGATACTGAGGAGATTCTCCCATTAAAAATATTTCCCTAACCTAAGTGTTAGTGTCTGATATTCTACAATTAGAAATTTGTTGTTATTATTTCCATTTATTGTTTTTAAAATTATTTAAATATTTAAAAATGATTTTTAGAATGATAATTTAAAAATTTATCCTAAATACTGTGTCACGAATCACAGTTCATTTCTTTCCCTAAGAGAAAAACCCAAAATCAATACTACTTAGAACTATAGAGGAGGGGAGAAGAAACTAAAGAATGATAAAATGGGAGAGATAGGCCTCTACCCATGAAATAAGTGTGCATATGTTGGGGTGATGGTGAATCATCCTGGGTTTGATCATGGATTAGAAAAATAAAATGGCCACAGAGGAAATTTTATTCAAATAACTGGGATATTTTGAATCTGGAATGTATCAGATAATACTATTGTAATCAACATTAGATTTCTTGGGTATAATAACAATATTGTGGTTTTGTAGGAGAATGTCTTTTTACTTAGCAGAACATGTATGCCAAAGTATTTAGAGGGGAAGTATCATTATGTCTGCAGTCTACTTTTACAAGTCATAAAAATGTATCTTTCTGTGTGTATATTCTACTTATTTATCCATCCATCCATCCATTTTATAAAGCAAGTATGGAAAAATGTCAATAATTTGGTGAATCTAGGTGAAGAGTAAAGTTAAATTAAAATAAGGAAAAGGGAAGACAAGAATAAAATATCCAAATCCCCAAGCAATATATGACAAACCAAGAAAATTTGGTGTAGCTGTTTAAACAGGTAGTTAAACATTCTTTAGTTTTGTATAATTTTCCCTGAAAATAAATTGTTAATGCTGTTGTTAAAATGAAGGAGAGAAAAATATTTGTCAATAAAGACTGAAGAAAGTTAGTGATTATCAATTGTCATGAAGACTGAAAAAGATGTAAGATAAAAATGATTTTGGGCTGGGGTTGTAGCTCAGTGGTAGAATGCTCACCTTGCATGTGGAAGGCACTGGGTTGGATCCTCAGCACCATATAAAAATAAAATGAAGGTATTGTGTCCATCTACAACTAAAAAAATTAAAAGAGTGATTTCAAGTCTACCAGTGTTCCCCAATGCACAACATTAACTTTTCAGTTATTACATATTTTAGCAATATAATAACAAAGTGAATTAAAATGTATAACAGGGTAATTTTCTGATTAGACAACTTTCTCTCCCTATTGAAGAGTATCTTACTATTCATACTCTGTGGTTAGTACACTGCTTTCAAGTTGAGTTGAAGTGCACAAAAGAGTGATCTCAGTCATTAAAGTGAAATAAGAATCATTATCATAAATAATAACTGTGTCTGAACTGATAAAAAATGTCCCAAATCTCAGGCACATAAAAATTACCATCATAAACATCACCAAATTGCTGGATATGAAAAATTTAGAGAAAAACTAAGATAGTATGTAAAAAGTAGCCATGGGAAAAAACAATCTATCAGAAGTTAAAGTGACTATTGACAAGAGAGTTATGTCCAAAAATCACAACTCAAAAATGCCAAAGGCCACTTTGAAAAATTACATTCTTAAAGGTAAATGATAAGTTTCAAGAGGGCAGAGATAGCTTCTTTCTTACTATCATTCACTATCATAGCCAGAGCACAACAACACTCTAAAACATGGATAAGAAATATTTAACTTTACTTGCATAATCTTATTTTTCCTGTTAAGATTTCAGAACTGAAGGGGTGTGATGAGAGTAATTAGATAAGCATCCAATTAATTCTCTAACGAACATTATTTTAATGAATACCTAAATTGAGAATTGTGAAAGTACAAGTAATATCTTAGTTTGAGGACACCCTTTGTCTTAATGTCTTAATGTCTTAACTTAATGTCTCCCAATTACTTCTAGCTAGACATAGTTTCCTTCTTCGGTTTCTTAAATTTGTAGTTTTGTATCATAGTTATTTGTATATATATAAATATATGTCTTTCCCCGTTTGACTGGAAATTCTTGAATGTAGGGACTATTTTTTATTTAACATATTTTTCTTTACCAGAGTCTAGTGCCAAGGTAAAAAAAAAAAAAAGATTCAAGATAGTAATGTTTAGTTTTGAACTCTGAGGACATGGAAGGGATATGGGCCAGGACACAGATCATCACCAAGGTAATCTTAGTAATTTTTCAATTAGGTTACACAACTAACTAAAATTACTTGAAGATTGGTGCACTAGTGCTTGTTTCTGATCTCATGACTGATAAAATACTCTGTATATAAAAATACTTACATTTTGATTTTCAAAATGAAAGAATATTTGCTTGATTGTAATGAAACATGATAAAAAGAGTTGGTTGGGAGAGTAAAGCTCTAAAAAATCAGTATCAAGAAAAACTGATACTAGCAAAGGATTCTTACCTTTATTGATGGGCACATGAAAATCATGACATTTCCTAAAATAAGAAAAAAAAAAGAAAGCTTCTTCAAATACTTACCAGAAGTGGTATTATTTGTAGAGTGTTTTTGATGGATGGATTTTGGCAAATGGTTTCTTGCATATCTGAAAAATTATACCATAACACAAAAATAATTTGTTTACATATATTGAAAGAAAAGAATGACTAGAATCAAATATTACAAAAAAGAATCAAATACTACATTCCAAAATGTCAAAATGTTCAAAATTGAGTAAGACTTTTCTTTCCTGTTGACCCTCAATCTTTATTGAGATATTATGTCTTCTTTCTTTTTTTAAACCAAAACAGGAATTTCATCCTTGGAAACTTTTTTTTTTCTCAGGAAAAAATATATGTTTATTTAGCTATTGAAGCACAAAAATTTGAGTAATTTTATCAATTCTGGTTTTTTCAATCTTTAGGCTTTGGTCCATACACTAGGAAGAATCTGGGTAAAAGAAAACAATTCATGAAGAATCTTTTATGTGAAGCATTTAAATATAGGAGTACCTAATAGAAATAAAACCTCCAAGTTATTGACTTGCGTTTTTTATTCTTTATCTGCATAATTTTACATCTTAAAGGGATAGCCTTAGTTCTGTGTTTCTTTTGTGTTTTAGTTTTCTGCTTTCTATATCATTTTAAAATTCAGTTTTAATTTTGAAGTTAACATGCAGAGTATATAAAATATATGCATATTTTAATTAATAATAATAAAGTTAATGTCTATGTAACTACCTTGAATTTATCATTACTTTAGATAACTTCCTTGGGCTGGGGTTGTGGCTTAGCAGTAGAGAGCTCACCTAGCACGTGCAAGGCCCTGGGTTCGATCCTTAGCACCACATAAAAATAAATAAATAAAGGTATTGTGTTCAACTATAACTAAAAAATAAAAAAAAAATTTTAAAGGAAACTTCCTGGAGCTCTCTGCCCCCATACTACTCTATACTGAGTTTCTTGCTTTGTTGTTTTAGCACGTGTATGCATCCCCCAAACAACAATTTACTTTTAACTATTTTTGTAATGGATTTCTTCTTTTTTTTTTTACTCAAAATTATACATTTTAAGATTCATCAGGATGATGTGTGTAGCTATAATTTGTATATCTTTCTTGCTGAATAATATTTCTACAATAAATATACTTTAATTTTTTTTTAATTTTTGAATTTTATAAATAATGATCTCCACATTCTTATACATATATCTCCTGACAGGCATGTGCAGGATTTTCTCTAGAGCATACACATCTAGAAGTGAAATTGCTGGGCTGTAAGGTATGTTCATGTTTAACTTAGATGGTGACAAAACTTCCTAAAAGGATTGCACCAGTTTACCCTCCCACAGTATTACATGAGAGCTGCTATTGCTGCACATCTCTCCCAATACATAGGATTCTCAGTTTTTTAACCTTCAGTCTTTTTAATGAATATGTATCTAGAACGCATCGTTTTAATTTGCATTTCTCTATTAATAGTGAAATTGAGCATTAAAATCAATGTTTATTGTTATTTGCATTTCCTTTGTTGTGAAGTTCCCAATCAAAATCTTTTTTGGTTCCATTTTTCTACTGGGTTATTAGGGTCTGTAAACAAGTCAGGATGGCGCCTGGCATTTTGCCAGAGGGAGTGGTTTGTGAAGTAACGCCAGCGAGCCATTAAGTGTGGAGATTCCTTATTGGTTGACTGCTGCATCTAGTTTATGTTAATTAAGATAAGCTGTGTGGAATGTATATATACCCCTCCTGTCCTACAATAAACGGCTCCCACTCCTGCTGTATCAATGTACACACTCCTGCTGTATCAATGTACACAAGTTGCTCGTCACCCCCTGGTTATTTTGCCCAGCCAGCTGGGCTGCGGCACTGGGTTGTCTTTTTTTCCTCATTAACTTATAGGCATTCTTCACATAGTTTAAATGAGAATAAAGGACTCATTTAAACTATCACTTTGTGGCTTTTTCATTCTTTTAATTGTATTTTGATATGAGGTTTGTGATTTTAATATAGTCAGATTTATTTTTTTCTTTTATAGATTATATTTCTTGTGCTTAAGAAATCCTTCCTTATATTGAGGTTAGAAATATTTTCTTATCTCTTAAAAACTTTATTTTCTTTTATATTTAATATTTAATTACCTGGAACTGATTTTTATGTCTAGTACACATTTAATTTCTTGCTGTTTAGTGTTATTACACACAATGTTTTTGAAAATAATCCCAGAATTTCTTCATATCTTTTCTGGCAATATGATATCTGGAATTCAAAAGCAGATTTTTACCTTAAGTGAGGGGGACTGTATCTAAATCCAACTTCCTTTGCAATTAGTAGTTGTTCTTTTCAACAAAAAAGGATGTAACTTTTAACATTGGGATTCTAATTGTATGTTCTCAGCCATAGGGTATTTTTGCCATCCAGGGGACATTTGGCAATGTCTGGAGACACTTGGTTGTCATGACTGGGAGGTGCTATGGCATGTAATGGGTAGAGACCAGATAAGCTGCTAAACACTTTATAATGCATAAGATACCCCCTACAATAAAGAATTATCCATTCCTTAGGCTGGGGATGTAACTCAGTGATAAAGTGTTTGCCTAGCATGTATGAGGCCCTAGGTTTGATTCCCAGCACCATTAAAAAACAACCAGAATTACTGAATCCAAAATGTCAATGGTGCGTAGGTAAAGAGGTCCTGATAAAAACATATACTCACAAATATTTTTTATTCTTGTTCACATGTAAATATTTTGTAATTTTTATTATGTATATATATTTTTTGAGAATAAAAAAAATGTGTTTCTTGCCTGGAGTGGTGCTACATGCCTATAATCTTAGCAACTAGGGAGGCTGAGGCACGAGGGCAAGTTTGAGGCCAATCTCAGCAACTTAGCAAGAGCCTTTTTGAAAATATGAAATAAAAAGGACTGGGAAATAGCTCCATGGTAAAGCATCCTGGATTCAATCTCCAGTACTGGGGGAAAAAATGTTTCTTAATGGTAATCTTTTTGTTATTAATGGTTCACTTTTTTTTTAAAGAGAGAGTGAGAGAGGAGAGAGAGAGAGAATTTTTTTTAATATTTATTTTTTATTTCTCGGCGGACACAACATCTTTGTTGGTATGTGGTGCTGAGGATCAAACTCAGGCCGCATGCATGCCAGGTGAGCGCGCTACCGCTTGAGCCACATCCCCAGCCCTGGTTCACTTTTGTTATTAGATTTTATCTAAATTGTATTGCAGCCAGGATATAGATTGCCCGACTCTAATCCTTTGAATCATATACGATTTATATTATAAATGTTCTGTGTGTGCTTATGAAAAATGTGTCTTTCTGATCAAATTTGTTAATTATGTTCAATTCTTTCACATCTATTGTACTTTTTCTATTTGTTCTATTCAAGTACTGACAATGGTAGGTTAAAATCTTCTACTACCATTGGAAATATTTCATTTGTTTTTTTGGTGCTGGGGACTGAACCCAGAACTTCATGCTTGCTAAATATGCATGGTAAAAACATACTCCAACACCAAGCTATACTTCCAGGCTTAAAACATATTTGAGGCTACATTCTTTTTTTATTAAATTATTTATTTATTCTAATTTGTTATACATGATGGCAGAATGCAATTCATTTCTTATTACACATATAGAGCACAATTTTTCAAGTCAAGATTGTACACAAAGTACTTTCACACCATTCGTATCTTCATACTATTATACTTAGGGTAAGGATGTCTAACGTATTCCACCATCATTCCTACCTCCTCATTCCCTTCTCTCCCTTCCCTCCCCTTTGCTCTATCTATATAGAGTTCCTCCATTCCTCTCTTGCTCCCTGCCCCATCACCATTATGAGTCAGCATCCTCATATCAAAGAAAACATTTGGCCATTGGTTTTTTGGGATTGGCTCGCTTCACTTAGCATTATATGCTCCAACTTCATCCATTTACCTGCAAATGCCATGATTTTATTCTCTTTTAATGCTGAGTAATATTCCATTGTGTATGTATACCAAAGTTTCCCTATCCATTCATTTACTGGAGGGCATCTAGGTTGGTTCTATAATTTAGATATTGTGAATTGTGCTGCTGAGGCTATATTCTTAAATTCATATAAAACATTTTATGTATTTCTCCTGTATTAAAACTTTAATCATCATGAAGTAACCTGTCTATTTAGCTTTCTACTGTATAGTCAATTTTGTCTGACAATATTACATTTAAACTAGCTTTGGTTATTATTTGCTTTCTACATATTTTTCATTTTTTGGTTTTCTGCTTTTCTATATTCTTATGTTTTGAATACGTGGTTTAGAAATAGAATATAATTTTATCATAAAATTCCATTTGACAAATTTTGTCTTTTAAGTGTAGTATTTAATCCATTTACATATATTGTAAATATATTTGTACATACCATCTTATAGGATAGTATTTCCGTTTGTTCTACCTCTTCTATGTTTTTCTTTTCTTTCTTGTTTTATTTTGGCTTAATCTAGTATTTTTTGAATGCCACTTTCCCTTCCTTACTAGTTTGAAAGTTGTATATTATATTTCTAGTCTTTTAGATGTGACTCTAATAATTACTAGATGTATATTTCAATTATCAGCATTTAAACTTAATCCGTATCTTTACTCTATTCCTTATCAAGAATCCTAGTGTATGTTACCTCTATTTGTTTTCCCAACTTATGTATATTTATAAGTATTTGAATTCTAAATCTTTAAACACATGATGCTTTGTTATACTTTTAAAATGTTTGTTCAAATTAACTCAGATTAATTTCTATCTGCTAAAGTGCATTTGTTAGAATTTCCTTAGTGTCTATTAACTAAGTTTTTGTCTGAACATATATTTAATTTGCTCTGGTTTTTGAGAGACATTTTCACCTTGAAAGATTTTAAGTTTAGCACATTGAACACATTGTTCAATATCTTCTGATATCTTTAATGTTTTCTGCCATCTTTGTTACTGATTAAAATTTAAAATGTGTCTTGGTGAGAATTTCTTTTCTTTGTGCTGGGCTCTGAAACCATATATACAAGGGGATTTCTTTTTATTTACTCTGAAATGTGTTAGGTTTTTGAATTTGTAGGTTGGTATTGTTCATCAGATTGGAAAAATTGCCAGCTGTTATTACTTCAGATATTGCTTGTGGCCTACTTCAGACTTTCTTATTCCTTTGTCTTTTAAACTCTTTCAAAATTTCCATCTCTTTGTGTCTTTGTACTTTATTCTGGATAAGTTTCTTTGATTTATATTCCAGTTTACTAATTCTCTCTTCAGATGTCTGTAATCTGCTGAATTTTGAATTTCAATTATTATATTTTCCATTTCTAGGCATTCTGTTTGGCCCATTTTTTTTTTCAAATCTGCTTGGTCATTCTTTATAATAGTTTATTATTCTCTGACTGGATTTTTAAACACAGTTCTGATTACTTTAAAACATATAAATGTAGTTATAGCCTGTGTCTGGTAATATCATTATCTAAAACACTGTTTGGGTCTGTTTATTTGGTCTTGTGGTTTCTTTTGATTTTTTAATGGTGCCTTTTTCTTTGTGGATCAAGTTATTTTATCTTATTTTTATTTTTCTTTTAAATTGTGGGCTGCTTATTTTCCTTTGTGATAATTCTTTGAAAACTAAAATATGAGTATGTTTCTATAGAAGGGACATAAATTTACTTTTTTTCAGATATTTTGGGCTGTTACTAGATTGAGGTCATTCTAAATTAAATTCTTTGTTTGAGACTTTAAAGACTACTCAAGTAGTGTGAACATGGGTTGTAAATTTGTGTGGTAGTTATACTACATGGTGGTTCTAAATTCTCATGGATTTCTCTCTGACCCCTCATCTGCTCAATACTGAGATTCAAGAATTACAAGTTTCTTTCTCTTTCTTTTCTTTTTTACCTTTCCCTCCTTTCTGTGTATGTGCAATGCATAGATCTTTGTATGGTACGGCTTTATGTGGGAGGCTCTTTTATGAGACTACTAATCTTCAGTGGGCCCTGGGTTTCATCTTCTGTCCCCTCTATGTTGTTTTTATACTCTCTGAGTCTTACTGTGGGCTGCCCTTTTTCCTTGGATTTCACTTGTGAAATGAAAATATCCTGAGTTAAATATGCTCAGAATATAAGCTAACTGTAGTATTCTCCTTCTCTTTCTGAGTTCTTACAAATTTCCGAGTCTTAAGAATTTGTTATATTCTTGCTAGCTCATTGCTATATTTAGATTTTTAAATACTTAATCAAGAATTCATAGTTGTTTTCATGGATGGTCAATATAGGTACCCTGCCTGTCCATGTTCATATGTTTCTCAAACACAGTAAGGCTTTTGGTATCATCATAAATGATGTCATAAATGATATGGCATACTTGAAGCAGTATGATTTCATTCAGATAAATTCTTAATTTATGTATACTCCATTAATCTAGATAGATGTTGTATTTTTATTTTTTATTTTATTTTTGGTACCAGGGATTGAACCCAGGGGCAGCTGATTACTGAGCCACATCCCCAGCCCTATTTTGTGTTTTATTTAGAGAGGAGTCTCACTGAATTGCTTAGTTGCTTTTCCTGAGGCTGGCTTTGAATTCGCAATCTTCTTGCCACATCCTCCCAAGCCTCTAGGATTATAGGTATGTGCCACTTTTTTAACATTAAATTAAGATTAAAATGAAAATAGTCTAATTTCAAAACACCACATTTTCCGCAAAGGATATTCTTCCACACTTACAGCGTAACCTTCCATTCAGATGATTAAGGGATTGTAGGATCTTTTGTTCTTCAGCTGATAGTGTACAGATGTTGAATTGCTGGGTCTTACTTAAATTCAGATTTGATTTCTGTAGTTGCTTGTTATTCATGACAGTTAGAATTTCATCCTCAGGTACTGAAGCTTTCACTAGGTTTTCAGCTGTCAAAAACTCAGAAGTACTGTCTGAAACTACAGAAACTTTATATCAATTATTCTTTGATCCCTTTATGTTTTTGGAATCAGCCCTTATATGTACTAGGATGAATTATGTGTGTATACATTATTTCACAAATAGAAATACAGTAAATATTCTATTACTTTGCATTTTATATGTTAGGATCCTCAGTATGTAGCATTTTCCTATCCTTAATTTAAAAAAATCCAAAATAATAGAAATGAGGCAATAGAAATCCCTAGAGTATTACTTAAATAAAAGAATAAAATACACTAGGTTTAGATAATTTTTGTGTTATTTTTTTACTCATTGATGGTACAAAGACAATATAAAGGAAGTTGTCTTTTTAGTAGCAGTTAAATTAACTATAAACAAAAGAATAAGAGAAAAGGAACTTAGAAGAGAAACAGAATTGATAGCCTAGAAACAGACCCAATTAGATTAAGAGTATATGATCAAAGAAGCATTAAAGACTTGAGAGAAGGGAAAGATGACTCAATAAATTAGTTTGATGCTTAATAAAGAGCTTAATTTAGAGTTTCATTTGCCACCATTCATCTAAGAAATTCCAGTAATTGAAGAGTTAAATTTAAGAAATCAAACTATTAAAACAACCTATATGAAAAGGAAATATCTGTAAATTTCTGTACTGGGAAGTTTCTTTGAATTTAAAAATAATGGAGAAATCCTTAAGAAAAGGTTAACACATGTTTATCTAAGGTTGGGCCAATCCCTGACATACTTTAATTTCTAGAGGGCAAGGCTATTGTATGTTTTGTTCATGACTTTATAACCTAATATTTACTTGTAAGCAGAAAATTAGCTCTTAATAATCATTTATTGAATGAATAAATGAAAATTAATACTTACATATGTAAAAATACAAAATAAGTGTAATATAGTAAAAATAACCAAGCAATGAAAACATTTTGTTCAAGAATTTGTAAAAATTATCAAGAAATTTTCAAAACACTAATACATATGAAAAAATAAGATGAAGAGACAATTTACCAAAAAAAAAACATAAAAAATTTAGCATATTATTAATAAAATATAAAATAAAAACTAATATAACACCATTTCCTTGCCTACCATATAAGCATGATTAGAAGTGACTCTTTAAATTGACATATACCACTGAGAGAATTTCTAAAGGTAATACTTTTTTGGAAATACTTTAGCAATATATATGAAAAGCTGTATCAATACATCTGTCCTTTGATCCAGTATCATTTAATATTTGTAGTTTCATTAACAAATATTTCTTAGGTGCCAATTACATGCCAGATACTGTAATTTTAATTCTGGGAATCTATCCTACAGAAATAATTGACAAGTCAGAAAATAATTTGCTGTAGAAAAGATGATCAATGCATTGTTATTATGAATGAAGAAAAACTGGCAATGAACTGTGTAGGGATGAGGAAAAGTGCAGGTTCTAAATGGTATTTTAGCATTCACATAAAATGTAAGCAACTGAGAAAATCCATATAAGAAAAGAAAATTGTTGGAAACAAAGCTCTGAAGAAAATGTACAGAACAATACCTTCTCCATCATTAGAAGTACCCCTTGTAGTTAGTTTTGGCTCATTTGAACTTAGCTGGGCACTTTGTCCAAAATTCTATAAAAATAGAAAAGTAAACCAGAACATGATTCCACACTTAAAATTTATGACATATAATAAACTTAAAATTTTTTAAATTGCTGCCTATATTTTCAGCTGTCATTATTCAATAACAAAATCATCACCAATATCCCTTGAAAATTATAAAGCTCATTTGATTTTCCTTTTTGCCATGTCTTCCAGGAAGCTCAGATTCAAGTAGGATGTTCAATCAGATAGGACTGTCTTAGTCTTTATGATTAAAATACATGCTTCCTTTATTCATGATTCTAGCCTTCCTTCCTTCCTTCCTACCTTCCTTCCTTCCCTCCCTCTCTCTTTCCTTTTCCCTTCTTTCTTCCTACTTTCCTCTCATATTTTCTACCTCCTTTTCTTTTTCTTCTGTATATTTAAAAAACTTTGTTGAATTTTGTTGTGCATGACCTAAGTTTTTTCCAGAATTCGTTATAAACAATAACAGGTAAAATAACAATAGTGATTTCTTAAAAGTTGATTTAAAACCTTTATTGGTAACAGATCATATAGGCTAATTACAGGACAGAAAATAAGTACAGTACAAAAGCTTAGCGTAAGATTCTAAGACTGCATCACAAATGACTTTGGCTATATTTATATTTATGTTGTGGTATACAGTTTACAGCAAGCACTGTAACAGCATTCTGTTTCCCACACAATTTTTTTTGCTATTATATAGAAATTTTTACTAATGCTGTACTTACATTTATTTGCTCACTGTACTTCTGTCCTACAGATCCAGGGTTTTTTCTTTTCTGCTCTAAAGGACTTCTCCTCTTATTTTCAATTTGCTTTCTTCTTCTAACAGTAGAATCTTAAACAAATGCCAGCACAATGTCAGAAATTATACAAGTTGAGTATACTATACCAATTGCAAACTTTCCAATTATCTTGGAACATCACAGAAAACTTATTTATTTCATCTATAAATTTCATTTAGTTTTATGTTCTTTGAATGGTACAATTACAAGGATAAATTCAACACAATTCCTGCTTTTGAGGGACTTATGCTTTGGATCAGTGACTTCTGACACTTGGTGCTAGAACACCAGGAAGGTATGTAAAATAAGCCATTGGTGTGCAGGAAGAACATATTAGAATTCTAATTTATGGTTTATTTAAAAATTAGAAATTAAACTTTACTATGCAATAAATGATTGACACTGATAATCTAGTTAATTTGCAAGATAGATTGTTATATATCGCACATAGTAATCTTGGTTATCTTGAAGGAATGAAAGTTACAAATGAAACAAAAATCAACTTAAAGTATATTAAAGACATAGGAATTAGAAAAGAAACATTGCAACTGCTAAAAGAAAATTTAAGTTTAACACTTCAAGATATTGGCACAGGTCACCAACTTTCTGACAAGGCTTCTAAAACTCAAGAAATAAAACCAAGAATCAATAAGTCAAAAGGATTCAAATGAATAATCTTTTATGCAGCAAAGGAAACAAGAGTATGAAGAGAGAATATATAGAATGGGAGAAAATCTTTGCCAGTTACTCTTCTGATGGGGGTTAATAACCAGGTTATATGTATAACACAAAAAACTTAACATCAAAACACAAATAATTAATTAATGTGAATATGAACAACATATATCTCAAAAGAAGAAATGCAAATGGCCAAGAAATATATGAAAAAATGTTCAATATCCTTAGCAATCAAGGAAATGTAAATCCAAACTACACATAGATTTCCTCTCACTCCAGTTTAATGGCAATCATAAAAAATACAAGTAATAAGTGCTGTGAGAAAAATAAAACAATAATAACATTGAATGTAAATGGCCTAAGCTCATCAAACAAAAGACATAGACTGGCAGATTGGATTAAAAAACATGACCCAACAATATGATGTCCTCAAGAGACTCACCTCATAGACAAAGACATCCACAGACTGAATGTAAAAGGATGGGATAAAACTTACTCACATGATCTTATCCACAAGCAGGGTTTCTATACTCATATCAGATAAAGTTGGCTTTAAGCCAAAGTTAATCAGAAGGGTCCAAGAAGGGCCATTTCACACTGCTTAAGGGAATTATACATAAACAGGACATAACAATCATAAATATTCATGCCCTATTCGGTGGAGCATCTACATACATCAAACAAACCCTTCACAATTTCAAGAATCAAATAGACCACAAAACAATAATACTGGGTGACTTCAACACACCTCTCTCATTACTAGATAGATCCTCCAAATGAAAACTAAATAAAGAAGCTATAGAATTAAAATAATGCAATTAATAATTTAGACCGAGCAGACATATGTAGAAAATGTCATCCATCAAGGACTGAATACACTTTCTTCTTAGAAGCACATGGATTCTTCTCTAAAACACATCATATTTTAGGCCACAAACTCTTAGCAAATACAAAAAAATAGAGATAATACCTTCCATTCTATCAGATCATAATGGAATGAAATTAGAAATCAACAATAAAATAAAAAATAGAAGCTACTTTAACATGCTATTAAATGACCAATGCATAGTAGAAGAAATCATGGATGAAATAAAAAATACTTAAAGGTAAATGAGAATTGTGATACAACTTATGAAAATCTCTGGGACAGTATGAAGGCAGATCTGAAAGGAAAGTTCACTGCACTGAATACATTCTTTAAAAGATAGAAAGTCACTGAATAAATAACCTAACATTACATCTCAAAGCCCTAGAAAAGGAAGAACAAATCAGGAAATAATTAAAATAAAAGCCAAAAATCAATAAAATTAAAACCAAAAATTCAAAAAAATAGATGAAACTAAAATTTTGTTCTTTGAATAAGTAAATAAATTGATAAACCCTTAGCCAAACTAATGAAGAAAAAAAGAGAGAAAACTCAAATCACTAAAATTTGTGATGAAAAAGGAAGTATATGACCTACCCAAATTGAAACAGCAAGACATAGAAAATTTAAGCCTTCCAACTAAGAAAAGACCAGGGCAATGACACATCAAGAAAAGAAGGTTTTAGAATATCCCTGATGAATATAGATACAAAAATTCTCAGTAAAATTCTGGCAAATCACATACAAAAACATATTAAAAAGATAGTGCACCATAATCAAGTGGGATTCAGGGTTGCATAGTTGGTTCAACATATGGGAATAAATAAGTCACAACAACAGACCTAAAGACAAGAACCACATTATTTTATCAATAGATGTAGAAAAAGCATTTGACAAAATTCAGCATCAATTCATGCTCAAAACCCTAGAAAAACTAGTGATTGTAGGAATGTACCTTAACATTATAAAAGCTATATACACCAAACCGAAGGCCAGCATCATTCTAAATGGAGAAAAATTCTACAGATTAGAACAAGACAGGGATGCCCTCTTTCACCACTTCTATTCAACATAGTCCTTGAAACCCTAGCCATAGCAACTAGACAAAGGAAGAAATTAAAGAGATTCAAATAGGAAAGGGGCACTTACACTATCACTATTTGCTGGTGACATGATTCTATATTTAGAAGACCCCAAAAATCCACCAGAAAACTTCTTGAACTCATAAATTAATTCAGCAAAGTAGCAGGATATGAAATTAACATCCATAAATCAACTGCATTCCTGTACATCAACGATGAATCAGCTGAAAGAGAAATTAGGAAAACTACCCCATTCATAATAGTCTCAAACAAACAAACAAACAAACTTGGGAATCAATCTAACAAAAGAAGTGAAAGACCTCTACAATGAATACTACAGAACACTAAAGAAGGAAATTAAAGAAGACCTTAAAAGATGGAAAGATCTCCTATGTTCTAGGATAGGTAGAACATGTCAAAAATGGCTACACCACCAAAAGCACTATACAGATTTAATATAATTCCTATAAAGGTTCTGAAGACATTCTTCATAGAAATATAAAAAGCAGTCATGAAGTTAAATTTGAAAAATTAAGAGACCCAAAATAGTCAAAGCAATCCTTAGTGAGAAAAGTCATGTAGGAGATATCATAATACTAGACCTTAAATTATACTATAGAGCTCTAGTAACAAAAAATGGCATGATACTGGCACAAAAATAGATATGAAGACCAATGGTACAGAATAGAAGACATAGAAACAAAGCAACATAAATTCAGTTATCTCATACTAAACAAAGTTTCCAAAACCATATACTAGAGAAAACATAGCACTTTTAACATATGGTGCTGGGAAAACTGGAAATTCTTATGTAGTAATTGAAATTGAACCACTATATCTAACCCTGCACAAAAATCAACTCAAATTGGATCAAGAACCTATGCATTAGACCAAAGACCCTGCAACTACTAGAAGAAAAAGTAGGCCCAAATATCTATAATGTTAGCTTAGGAGCTGAATTCCTCAATAGGACTCCTAAAGTGCACAGGGTAAAACCAAGAAGTAAAAGTAATTGTATCAAGCTGAAAATCTTCTTCACAGCAAAGGAAACATTCAAGAGTGTGAAGACAGAGCCTACAGAATGGGAAAAATTCTTTACTACCAGCACCTCAGATAGGAGCATTAATCTCTAGGATATATAAAGAACACAACCTCCCCCCAACAAATAACCCAATCAATAAATAGGCAAAGGAGCTAAACAGACACTTCACAGAAGAATAAATACAAATGCCCAACAATTATATAAAAAAATGTTCAACATCTCTAGCAATTAGAGAAATGCAAATTAAAACTACACTGGGATTCCATGTCACTCCAATCAGAATGGCAATTAACAAGAATACAAGTAATAATAAATGTTGGCAGGGATGTGGGGGAAAAGGTAGGCTCATATATTGTTTGTGGGACTGCAAATTGGTGCAAATACTCTGGAAAGCAGTATGGAGATTCCTCAGAAAACTTTGAATGGAACTACCATTTGCAAGCTATCCCACTCCTAGGTTTATACCCAAAGGACTTAAAATCAGCATACTACAGGGATGCAACCACTTCAAGCTTTATAGCAACTCAATTCACAAAAGCCAAACAATGGAACCAATTTAGGTACTCTTCAACAGATAAATGAATAAAGAAACTGTGGTATATGTACACAATGGAATATTACTCAGCATTAAAGAATGAAATTATGGCATTTGCAGGTAAATGGATGGAGCTGGAAAACATCATGCTAAGCAAAGCCAAACCCAAAAAATCAAAGGCAGAATTTTCTCTCAGATAAGTGGAGGCTGATCCATAATGGAGAGGGCATGGGAAGAATAGAGGAACTTTGGATTGGGCAAAGGGGAGTTGGGAATGGGAGGGGGCATGGGGATAGGTAAGATGGTGGAATGAGACTGACATCATTACCCTAGGTACATGTATGATTGTATAAATGGTGCAACTTTGCATTGTGTACAATCAGATAAATGAAAAGGTTTTCTCCATTTGTATGCAATGAAACAAATTGCATTCTGCTGTCATGTATAATTAGAAAAAAAATAAAATGTTGTGTTCTGATTAAGGTTCATATGCACATGTTAGTATAGTAATACATATGTACAGCATATATATTTCTCAAAATTTTATTAATAGTGATAATATTTGACGCTGTTGGTTTAGAAGGATGGATACAAAGTTAAATGGATTATTGCAGTAAAGTGCTTAAATTGCATGTAGAATTATAGACAGAACTAAATGAAAGCCCAGAGGATTACAATGAATTAAAAAATTAAGAAAGCTTTCATAGAGAATATTATATCTGAGCTTGATGTTAAAAGGAGTAGTTGATTCACAAGTAAAAAGGTGCTTTGATACAGGAAGAACATTATGTGCAAAGACAAAGTTATTGTGGTATATACTTAGGTTTTTAGGGGCTAAGGAGTAGAAAATT